TTAGGAAGATTTTTTTTTCTATCAAAATTGCTTCCTTAACTGATACAGAGCATTCACAGTAAAATGTAAATAAGCTCTGTTTTTTAAGTACACATTACAATGTAAAGCAGTGATCAAATTCTATTATATTTACTAGCTGTATCACAAAGTTGAATGATGATATTGGACTGCTTTGATTATGAAACTAATTAGATACTTTAAAAATTATTAAAATGAAAGCCATGTTGATTTAAAAGCTGAATAATTAATGAAGACTATGTTTGTTGTATATAAAGAATCAAGATGGTGAATTAATCAGGGGGTATTTATTTTTGTTGTTTATAAGTAAAACAAAATTTGGGATAATTTTCCAAAACTAAAATCATCTTAAGCAGAAAGGGCAGTTCTGTTAGTTAAAAATATTCTACATTAGTTTTAAATGAGAATTTTTAAAACCATATAACCAAAAATTAAATTAGTTTAGTGATACAAACTCTGGAAACAGATTAAATTGTCTTTGAATTTTCCAAATCGGTATCTGCTGGATCTAAGGGTGAAGTACCTTTGGAAATGCCTTAAAATTAGGGCAGTACAAATAATTTAAAAAATCTATTTGTAAAACTTTTCTAATATAGCTATTTGATCATCACATTATATATGTAATGATGGTGTCTTTGAACTTTGTGTTGAAATAGCTTATATTTTTCTTACAGTATAAATTAATAAAAATTGAAGATCTGCTTAATTTTTAAATATCTGTTTTAATTTATTGAAGTATGCTATGAAGATTAACTCAAAATAACTGAATTTCTTTTCTGTTTCTCCTTTGAAATGCTTTGCTAAACTGTTCTAAGGTCAGAAATGGATATCATCATTTCTCAGTAGCAATAGCAAAGATATTTTATCTACCCTAGGAAGCTTGTTTTCTGAGCTATTTACTTTTGTTAACTTGGAGACGATAACTTGGTTTTAAGAAATTTTTCTGATTGAGCCTGAACCAAAGAAAATCTATTATTTTCTAGTGTTGACTAGATTGTTTTTAGGAAATGTAAGTATATGCAGATTGTGATAATAGATAGCAATGTTTTACCAACTACTGCTTTTTCTTCTGTTTTCTTTCTTTTTTTACGTGATAGCAGTAGAACCTTTCAAGTGAAATCCATAGATAAATTCATGGCAATTGTGCATAAGGAAAATAAAAATAAAAAAAAAATCTTACTCAGAACCCCATTATTCAGAACAGATAAAAATGGAATGGCTCAGATTATCAGTTTGAACATTGTAAAGGAAAAAGTGCCATTTAGCTGATGTCAACAGAGGACATTTAATAAAGAAAATGGGATTGTGTAATTTCAGAGTTTTTGAAAGATTCAATACATCTGATATGGAATACATTTTTTGAACACAGAGTGGCTTTCTTTGGATCTTAGTGTTATATTTTGAAATAGCTATAATAAAATGATAAAGTTTAATTTTCATGTCATGAATTTTGCAAATTCCAATAAAAAATTATTAAGGACTCATGTCTCTTATAAGTACAAAGGTGGACAAAGAGGGTTTACAGTTCATATGGAAAAAGATGTGCAGGTATGATTATCACAATAACTTTATTAACTCCGTTTAACATACAACTGTAAACCTGCTTTTGCCCACCATGGTATATATACATCATATTGTGGTTTATTAATGGACCAAACTATTTTGTTGTTAGTCCAATAAAGCTAGTTGATGGGCTTTATACAATACTTAATATATGCCACACACTCCTCTAAGATTATTACCGTATTTGCCGGCGTATAAGACGACTGGGCGTATAAGACGACCCCGTAACATTTCCACTCAAAATACAGAGTTTGTTATATACTCGCCGTATAAGACTACCCCCTCTTCCGCACACCTTCCACACACCAAATAAAAGGTAAAACAATATCAGATTTGATTTTAACATTTTAATTTATATTCAAATGCTTATGACATGCAGGAAAACTGTCACAAGGCTGTATGTAATCAAACATATACATAAAACAGTGCAAGTTTATTACCGGTAAACATACCGGTAATTCACTAAAGAAAATACACTCTATAGACTGGTACCGTAGATGCTTCTCAGGAACACAGGCAAGCAGCCCACAACCTAGAGGGACTGTCAATGATAGAAGTAAGATAACAAATAGAGGTAGAGAGCAAGTGCCGGGCAAGTCCCTAGCAA